TGATCAAATTACAAAATTGACTCACTAAAAGAATTTCTTGAGATGTTCTGCATTCCAAGAGTTGGGCAAGATTTTTCCTTCCTCCGTCTATAACTCATAGTTCCCTGGTCTGATCACCCACGAGATGATATACGGGCCTTCCCAATTGAGTCTCAACTTTCTATGAGTGGGGTCCTTTCTTGCTAAAAATAAATTTTAAGTACTAGGTCGCCCACCTTAAAGCTTCTATGTCTGACCTTTCTGTCATAGTGCCTAGCTATTTTTCTCTGGTAATTTCTGATACGATTCAGAATTGCCTCTCTTTTCTCTTCTAAGAGATCCAGGCTCAATATAAGTGACTCACCATTGAGTTCACCATCTGTGAGTTCAGTCATGGGGGATGGGATCCCAATCTCGACAGGCGCCACTGCTTCAGTTCTGAAAGCCAAGGTAAACAGTGTTTCTTGAGTTGCTGACCGAGCGGTTGTTCTGTAGGCCCATAACACTTTTGGGAGGTATTCCACCCATTTATCCTTCAAATCTTCAAGCTTGGTTTTTAGAGCCGATTTTATGGTTCTGATGGTGACCTCCGCTTGCCCATTAGACTGTGGATAAGTTGAAACTGAGAAGTAATTCTTAATTTCGAACTCAGCACAGAAGTTTTTGAACTTTAGATTGCCAAATTGCTGCCTGTTGTCAGAGACAATTGCCCTAGGAATTCCAAACCTACAAATTATGGATTTTCAACTAAAGCTCTGGACTTTCTGTTCGGTAATTGTTGTCAAAGGCTCCACTTCCGCCCACTTGGTGAAGTAGTCTACTTCGATGATAGCAAACTGGCATTGTCCTACACTGGTAGGAAGGGGTCCTAATATGTCAAGACCCTATTGCTGGAAGGACCATGGGCTAATTACCAAGGTTAGGATCTCTGGTGGACAATGGAAAATATTGGCGTGCACTTGGCAGATCTTGCATCTCTTGACCAAGTCTATAGCATCCTTGAGCATTGTGGGCCAATAATATCCTTGCCTTAACATCTTTCCTGCTAGAGCCCGAGCTCCAATGTGGTTGCCACAAACCCCCCTGTGGACCTCCCTGAGTTTGTAGTTGGCGTCTTTGCCTCTTACGCATTTAAGAAGGGGTGTTGAGAAACCTTGCTTGTACAAATTTTCCTGTAAAATAGAAAACCTAGCCGACCTGGTTCTCAACTTGATAGCTTCTTTAGGATCTTCTGGCAGAGTTTTATACTGAAGGTACCCTAGGATGGGGTCCATTCAGCTCGATGGAGCTTGCACAGGTAGTGTTTCCTCATCCTCAACACACATGGATGGTTCCGCTAAGTGTTCTAGTGGAATCAGCCTGTCCAAGCTCTCCTGCGTGGCTGTTGCTAATCTTGCCAAAGCATCTGCTCGCGAGTTCTCGATTCTCAGTACATGTCTAATCTTAACTTGCACGAACTTCTTCATCAACTCTTGTACCTTTCTAAGGTAAAGAACCATCTTCTCGCATTTAGCTTAATAGGCTTCCTCTATCTGTTTGACCACCAGCTTGGAATCACTGCAGATCTCCAGCTGCTCAGCTTCCATCGAGTGAGCCAGATTAAGTCCGGCAATGACAGCTTCATATTCTATCTTATTGTTTGAAGGTTTAAACCCAAATCTGAGGGTGTATTCGACATCTATCCCATCTGGAGAGCTCAGTATCAGGTCTGTGCCACTTCCTTGAGCATTGACAGCTCCATCTATAGAGAGCTTCCATGTAGGAAGGTCAAGTACTAGCTACGTTGCTTCCATAGGCGCTGGTGTTGTAAATTCTACGATGAAATCTACTAAAACCTAACCTTTGACCACAGTTCTAGGTTTAAATCTGACGTCGAACTCACTGAGCTCTATGACCCATTTTATCAACCTCCCCGAGGACTCTGGCTTATGCAACACTTGTTTCATTGGTTGTTCTATTGGAACCTCGATGGTATGAGCCTAAAAATAAGGTATGAGTCTTCTAGTCATAGTTACCAATGCTAAGGCAAGCTTTTCCATTTTTGGATATCTCTCCTCCGCCCCCCTCAGAGCTCTACTACAATAGTAGACTAGTTGCTAGGACCTGTCCCGCTCTCTCACCAGAGCTGTACTAGTCGAGAAATCTAAAACAACTAGATAGAGGGTTAGTACCTCCCTCTGTAAGGGACTTATCAAGATAGGAGGGGAGCTCAGGTAAGCCTTCAAGGCTTTGAATGCCTCTTCACGTTAGGCATCCCATAAAAATGCCTTTTTTAAGATCTGAAAGAAAGGCCGGCATTTGTCACTTGATCTGGAGATGAAACGACTCAAGACAGCTATTCTTCCAGTCAAGCGTTGGATCTCCTTTACATTAGAAGGTGGCTGCATATCCAAAACTACCTTAACCTTTTCTAGGTTGGCCTCTATTCCTCTACTGTTGACTATGAAACCCAAAAATTTTCCTGCAAATACTCCGAAGGCACACTTTGCAGGATTGAGTTTCATCTTGTATTACTTAATAATTTGGAACGATTCTGCTAGATGTGTAATGTGGAGTTCTGCCTTCAATGACTTCACCAGCATATCGTCGATATATACCTCCATGGATGTTCTAATTTGACCTTGGAACATCCGATTCACTAGGCGCTGGTAGGTGGCTCCTGCGTTTTTCAACCCAAAAGACATGACCTTGTAACAGTATGTTCCCTGTGCGATTATAAAGGAGGTTTTCTCTTGGTCGGCTGGATCCATTCTAATTTGATTATATCCTAAGAAAGCGTCTATGAAACTGAGGAGTTCATGTCCAGCTATGACATCTACTATCAGGTTTATCCGAGGTAAAGGAAAGTTGTCCTTGGGGTATGCATGGTTGAGATCAGTGAAGTCAATGCACAACCGCCATTTACCGTTGGTTTTCTTGACAAGAACCACATTGGCTAGCCAGGTAGGGTAGTCAACTTCCCTAATGGCTTTGGCGTGGAAGAGTTTGTTGATCTCCTGATTGATTACCTTCTGGCATTCTGGGGCAAAACTCCTTCGTTTTTGCTTGACCACCCGGCAGGTGGGATTCACATTGAGCTTGTGTGTGATGACCGAGGGGGTCGATTCCTTCCATGTCTTCTTGCTTCCAGGCGAAGACTCCCCTATTCTCTTTTAGGAATTAGATGAGGAGGTCTTTTATTTCCTAACTTATCTTAGACCCGATGTAAACAAGGTGTTCAGGCTCCTTATCGAGCTGGACAGGCTCTAGCTCTTCTGATGGTGTTGCTCTAGTATCCAGTTCGTCCCTCATATCTAACTGGACATTCTTGACTTCCTTCTGTTTCATCGAGGTCATGTAACACTCCCTCGCTACCCGCTTGTCTCCTCGGACCACTCCAACTCCATTTTTCATAGAAAATTTCATAACCAAGTGATAGACAGAGGAAATTGCCTTCATTGCGTTGAGGGAGGGCCTCCCGAGAAGCATATTATATACAGACGGGGCATCCACCACTAGGAATCTTACTGTGGTGGTGGCCTGGTAGAGAGAATCTCCCATGGTGAGGACAAGTTGGATTGAGCCCAGGGGCAATACCCTTTCTCCTGCGAAACCCAATAGGTGAGCACTGATCGGCTCCAACATTTCCCTACCTATATCTATTTTGCCAAACGCATAAGAGAATATGATATCTGCTAAGCTCCCGTTGTCAATTAAAACTCGGTAAACAGTCCTATTAGCCACAACAGCTCTGACCACTAGTGGATCATCATGGGGGTGCTGGTAGCCTTCTAAATCTAAGTCTGAAAAGGTGATAGCCATGTTCAGCCGAGGCACCTTGGACACTGTGTATATTTCCAGCAGCTCGAATTCTGCGCAGGTGCACCTTCCAGGCAGAACTGGACTCCCCACCCCCTGCAAACCCACCGAAAATTACTCTGATTTCACCAAGGGGTTGTTGGTGTAACACATGAGCTTGTTGCTGAGGTGGTAGAGGTGGAGGGGCTCGGTCCTGATTATCCCGAGCTACATAACGGCGTAACTGAACCCTCTGGATTAGGAATTCAATCTCTTTCTTTAATTCAATGCAATCATCAGTATGGTGGCCATGATCTCTATGGTATTCACAATACTTTGTGGGATCCCTCTTTGTTGGGTCTGCTTTCATTCGAGGTGGCTATCTTAGAAACTTCTCGCTCTGCACCTTGTATAAGATCTGAGATATCGTTGCAGTGAGTAAGGGGAGCTGCCGAGGTTCGTACCTTGGCTGTAGCTCTGGTCGTGGCGGACCTAAGCAATCTCTGACATCTCCCCTCCTTTTGGGGGAGCGATTTCTATCCTTCTCAGAGATCTATCACGCCCTCTCTCTCTTCTAGGACTTCAGTCCCTTTTTCTTTTCTCTTTTCCTTTATCTTTTTGAGTAAANTCTTCTATTCACCACCCTAATGTATTACAATTCGGTATATCTTGAAATTAGGGTTTCTTTTCTCTTCCTTCTCTATGGAAGCGTTACATAGTATTTATAAGACTATTTCCCATTCTGTCGGATCTGAGCCGAGATCTCTACCTGCCATTAGTGGGATAGGAGAGAATCTTGGTTGGTTGAGAGTTTCATGCTTTGAATCTAGTTTTTGCAGTTATCCAGCTATTCCCTGGTCAGTTCCGCTATCATCTCCCCAGGGGGAGGTCTGGCCCCGAGTTTCTGAGCTCCTCGTATCATACTAGACCTCCTAACCTAACCTTGTTTCCTGAGCTTGCTCTTATAACTTATTTGAGGTATCATCATAACACATACACATATAGGACTTACGAATATATTATAATTATTAATAATTATTTATCTTATAAATGATTATTTTACCCTTGATCAATTTACTTCATACCCATGTTAAAGGGTGCAATTCTTTTTTTGATCATTAACCCCTTATCCATCCTCCCAAACCCACCACCTTTAAAGTTATGGTCATTTAAAGTTTCGTCGTCTCTTTATGTTTTTCTAGTACTCCACCCTGGTGCCAGTGCCAGTGCTCAACATCACAGAGCTAGAGACTGTCCGTGTACCAGCTCCAAGGCATCGCCCAGACCACTTGCTTTAGGTGTCGACCAGTCCGCACCCAAGCACCTAGCACCAACCAGTGCCCAGCGCCTTTCTGGGTCACTTGGTGCAGCTTCTGCGCCTGCGAGGCGTCGTCCGACCTAGCGCCTGCACCCGCAAGGGCTTCGCCCATACCTTTTCTCCTTTTGGTGTCGCCTTAAAGCCCAGCAAGGGCACTGCCCATGCCTCGTCTACCTTCGGCGTCTCCCTAAAGCTCTGCAAGGGCACCTCCAATGTTTTTTCTCCCTTTGGCGTCACCCCCTGCCTGTGTGGCCTTAACGTCACCCACTGCATGGGCCATCATTGCTTTGGTGCTACAGGTGGCATCGCCCACAGCAACTGACATCATCGCCTCATGCCCGCCATGGGCTCTGTCCTCATCCAGGAAACCTAGGCTATAGCTGGTGCTGCCTAGATCTCCTTCAGCACCTTCATCATATGCATTAAAGGCGTTGCCCAAACCCTCTGTTGCGCCAGCAGAATCGCCAAGACCAATTGTCAAGGTGTTGCCCAACCCATGAGAGGCGTTTCCACCTACACCCCTATCGTCGCCGCTCTTGAGACCAGTTCCTTCAGTCATTGCATCCTACCCCTTGCCATGGGCACTGCCCTCACTCTCTACTCTGACTGCACCGCCTAGTTGAGCTGCTCTGCTCTCCACTGCTCTGTATCCCACACCCTGGGCACTAGCGTTACCTTTTCTACTGCTCATCAACACGTCGCGCTAGGCATCACCGTCATCCAGGGCATCGTCCCTCTACCCAAGGCGCCTCCTCTGCTCAAGCGCCTTCTCTGCCCAAGGCGCCACCTCTGACTGCTTGGCATCGCCCCTCCTCACTAGAACAACACTATCTGGCTTCTCCTTAGATTTTCCTATGATCTCCATGGCTTACTTCACTCTGTAATCAAATGAGGGGAAATTTAAACCCAATCCAAAAAATGGTAAAAGATGAATAGCCACAAGATCTATGAATGCCTACCTTTGAAAGCCTTAGAAGAACAATTCCTTCTTGCAAGAAGGGAACTTTGGTATGAACAGGAGGAGCTTGGTTGAGGGCCCAGTAAAAAAGATGTTGATATATACAACAGGTGACTAGCAATGGAGTATGTTAAGTAAAGAAGGAAATTTTACAGAACATTGAAATGAGAAGCAAAAGAGGCTACCGTGAGGAACTAGAAACCCTTATTTGTTCAGAGGCTCACTCAAGCCCTCAATCTCCTTGACACTACAAGGACTTAGGGAATGGGGGGGCAAATGATGAGCTCAGATTTAGCTAGGTCGAGCCCAATTAATCAAGTAATCTCAAATCAGTTAAAAGGTCAGTCAAGCCCAGCTCGTTGATTCAACCCAGTCCAAAGTTCAAAGAGTCTAAGAAGATTATAGCACATTGGGAGCAATTATTGGGATAGTCACTATCGAAAATCAAGACTATCTTTAATTGTACTTATCCTTAGCTATAACTATCCTCCCTGAATAAGTAGTATCTTTACTCTCACGTCACTACCTCAACCAAGACTCTATGCCTATAAATTGCAAACTCTCTTTACATGAGAGGGACATCTCTACACACACCCCTACATTGCTATCTTTCTCATAGCTATCATACATCTCGCAAAGTTCACTCTCTTTATCTCCTTAATTTAGTAATAAAGGTTCTCCAACCACCGTTGTAGTTTTCAAAGTGAAGTAGGTCCCTCTAACCGAACCACTATACATCTGTGTGTTAGCTCAGTATTTGTCTTTTACTATTAATTGATTTATTGATTGTTTAATTAATTATCATAAATCGCACACTCGACTATTGATTATGTATAAGCCTGTTTTGTGCATCATCACCACTAAGTGTCAATTTAGTCTCATTAAATTGTTAATAATTTTACTGCAAATTCACCACATAATCTAAAAATTATAACTTGATATATGTTATACTACACAAATAGTGCATTGTTTCAGCTTAGTTCAAAATATTATTTAATAATTTTGAAAAACATAAAAAAAATGCATTTACTTGAGAGGAGTGGACGACAATAAAGTCATACATATAACACCCCTTATTGCCCCCTAGACTTAAATCAGTGGCTATCTAGCATTTTGGGACTTCCTACTACTAATTAAATAATTTTACAAATACAATATCTATAATAGAGTTTTTGTCCAAAAATGAGGGAGACCTTAATAGTTCCATTACTGTCTCAACCTTAAGGTCCAACAGCTAAATTTGCCATATATTTTCAATCAATTTTGATCAATAATAGATCATAATTCAAGTAAGAATCATGGTAAAAAAAAAGTGGGTTTCACATTTATACATGGTACTAATTCACCATTGGATGAAAGAATGTAAAAATGTATAAAAGAGGATCTAAGTCCAACATATACTACTCCACGATAAATGTTATAAAAAAATGTACGCTGGATAATAAAGATCAATTAGGATACGACCGTGCAAAGCACGCTTTTTTTATTGTGATTAAAATATTTATTGTGATTGAATTGTGTAGTATAATTGAAATATTTACTATAGTTAAAAAAGTTAGTATGATTAAAATATTTAATGTGATTAAAAAGTTAAATGTAAAAAGACATAATTTGAATAATTAAAATATTATAATATTAATTATAAAATGAACTTTCAAATATAAATGATCTAGACTACTACTAATTTTTTTTTAAGCCTAAGAACGTAAAACTGTATTTTAAGAGAATACTAATAGTCGTTCTGTACGATACACAAAATTTATAATATCTCTTCATCACCACTACTCCCACCCTATTCCACCGCCACACATAATCCCAACCCATCCTAATATTATTAAAAATTTTGTACTAATATGCTAAATTGATATTTAATAAAAATTTAAATTGATTCTCTTAATATAAAGTATAGATAATAGAAGCATAAATTACATTCAGTCTTCTTAAGATTTGTCACTAAATCAAATAGACCCCTCAAGTATTATATAGAAAGGATTAATTACGAAATGCTTCTTTGAACTTTGGGTCTTATTTCAATCAGATCCCTCTGGTTTTAAATTAAAAAATTCGCCCCCTTCAAGTTCCAAAATTAACAAATTAACTGATTAATTAGACAAAAATTTTAAAATTACTTTTGTACCCTCAGCCTTTATTCATTTTCATTTTCTTTAATTTTTCTTTACCCAATTGAGCCAAAATCTCCAATGCCACCAGTTACAATCCACCGTAACCATGACCCAGCCAACAACCACAACCACCGCAGCCACCACCAAACCACCTAGCTATAATCACCACCCATCGTAGCTATAACCAGCCCACAAACCACCGTAGTCCCCACCTAGCCATAACCACCACAGCCACAATTAACCAACCCAAAAATCATCGTAGCCACCACCCAATCACTCAACCACAAAACCACCCTATCCATCACCCAACCAACCAGTCAATGACTATTGCAGCCACCAATGCAACCACAAAACACTATAGCCACCACTCAACCACCCAGTGACCCAAACACAAACCACCGTAGCCACCTCTCAACCACCCAGCTATAAACCACTGGATCCACCGTGAAGAGGGAGGGTTTCAGTGGGGTTGGGTTATTAGTTTCTATGGAGTCTGATTAAAGAGTTGAGTTGTGTGAAAGGTGGGGGCGGGTTTTAGTTTCAGTGGGGGGGAGGGGATTTGGGTTTCGGTTCAGTGGATGAGGAGGGATTAGGCAGTTGAGGGAAAGTTGGGGTGGGTGGTGGGTTTCGGTTTCAATTGAGGGGGAGGGATTTGAGTTTCGATTTAGTGGAGGGAGAGGGATTAGGGAGTTGTGGGAAGGGTGGGGGGTGAGTTTCAGTTGCAATGGAAGAAGAGGGGAGGGATTTGGGTTTTTCAAGTGAATTGGATTTTCAACAGATTTGGATTTTTTCTTTTGATTTTGAATTTTACACAAAGACAAGGGTAGTTGTGGGTTTTTGATTAATTTAAATCATTTTTAAAAGAGATCAACTAACGGTAGGAGTTAATTAAAAATTATTCAATCATTAAAGGGGCAAATTGTTCAATTTTAAACCAGAGAGATCTGATTAAAATAATATCTAAAGTTCAAGGGGATATTTTGTAATTAACCCTTAGAAATAACACTGGCATCCTCTGTCAGACCACCTCAACACATGGCTGCCGCTTTGCTGTAATTAGTAGAGGATGTGCCCATGGCCGGTTTTTTCCTTGGGACTGTCACACTGTCAACCCCATAGCCAGGTGCAAGTCAATCAAATGAAGACAACAAGGAATCCATTGAGGAATCTCAACTTTTTAGTTTGGAAGCACCATTGGTGAAAAATTGAATCTTACTATTGATTTGATTGAACTGATCCGATGCTTTCATATAGGAATTAGAAACCTGGGGATAGAAGGGAAAGAATATTATTAACGATTAAAAATTTATTTTAGTACATTATTTCGATCACCAAAGTAATAAAAATGTTTTAAAAATATTTTAGAAATAAAATTAAAATGAATTTAAAATTTGGGAATTAATTTTCAAAAATTGTAAAATATTTATCAAAATATACAAAATATCTTTAAATAATTAAAAATATTTTGAAATAATAATAAAAATATCTCAAAATATCTCAAAACATTCTGAAACACTTCGAAGTCTTGGATTTTAGATTCAATCATTGAGTTATTTCAATAACCTTAAAAAATAAACACTTTTCGATCATTTCAGCTATTTCGAAGAAAAAAAAATTAGTCCTTATATAATATGATTATTTAGCAATTCCTGTGGCTTAGTTTAAAGACTCCAACATAGTACAAACCTCAGTTCTCTTAGTACTGTAAGATGAACTTGGACCAAGAGCAAGTGGAGTCTACTTTCATTCCTCTTCCTTACAAGAAACTGTTGACTTTGAAAAGAAATTGATACAAGGTTATCATGTATGTACTAAATTTAACATGTCTAGATCAAAATTGAATTGAATAAACAAATTAGTTTAAGAAAGCTGTTCATTACAAACCCGGCTTTATATAGCTATAAATAGGTGTATATAAATGAAATAAATTGTAACACAATATGATTTAGATGTAATACATATCTGATATGACACGATCTATGTTAACTCTGTCTAACAAAAAGAAAAAAAAAAAAAAAGTTCTATATATTTCCAGATGCGACACAGTACACTTGCAAAATGTGCAAAATGTGTTATTCTCCCTTTCCAGCACATAATGTGAAAGATTAGACAAGGGCACATGTAGTATCTAAGGTTTATGAGCTGCTCACAACATAAATTACAAAACCATTACATATAAGAGGAGAAATATATCTGCTTTAAATGTGTTGGTGATCTACGTAATAACAAATCAAAAGCTTTGGTTCTCGTTACCCATAGGACTATAATATTTATAACGTACTTTGTTCAAAATCTAATTGATGCTTTAGGAGACATGTTGGAATATATAAATACTTACATGTTATTATACTTTTTTGGATTAATCACAAATTGTATCCTGAAATATCGTTCGAATCTGTATTTGTACCTTCAAAGATAAAAAATTTCAATTTGCATCCTCAATGATAGAAATTTATATCAATGCGCACCTGAAACTAACAACCGTCAATTTGCTGTCTAAAACTAAATTGATAAATTATAACTAGATCTTCTCATACTTGTCACTTAATCACCTAAACACCTCACATTTAAAATATTATATCTACATCCCTTGAGAATATAAATATGACTAAAAATGTTCTCTCAATTGAACATTCAAATAATTCTGGTTAAGTGATGTATTGTAATGGATATAAAAAATATTATATAAATACCTACATTATATTAGGCATTTAAATAGTAAACTTGATTTTGAACTTTAGAGTATAATGAGCTCATAAAATAAATGATAGTATGAAAATTACAAAATCATTTTTTTAACGTTTATATTAACATATATCAATGACAAAGAGTTATGTATTACACATGCACAAACATCTTGAGGTGTAGGAATAATATTCTAAATGTGAAGGAGTCCAAATAATTAAGTGACAAATTTGAAAGGATCTAAGTATAAATTACCCAACTATTTTTATATGGCAAACTGATAATTGTTAGCTTCAAGTGTGCATTGAAACACATCTATATCTTTGAGGGTGCAAATTGAGATTTTTTTATCTTTAAGAGCACAAATTAAAATTTGAATAATCTTTCAGGGTGTAATTTGTAATTAATCCTACTTTTTAAAAATCATAACTTTTGAGATTAGTAGTTGTAATTAATAGTTTGAGTGGGCAATGATGTTCTAAATTGGATCAATCATAAAGCTACCAATTAAAGTTTGAATAATTAAAAATTCTTGAACACTTTTGATTTTGTTATAAAATTATCACTTAATTTAACTCAATAATACTATTTAAACTTAATTTGTTTATCTAATTCATCACAATCATTAAATTAATAATGGTCTCAATTATTACTGGGATTCACTATCAATCCAATGACAATAATTATGTTAATAAAATACGTTATTAAAAGTAGGGCTGATAATTGACCCGAATTACTCGGATTCGGTTCGGATAGAACTCGATTTGAAATGAGTCGAATTCAANATACTATTTAAACTTAATTTGTTTATCTAATTCATCACAATCATTAAATTAATAACGGTCTCAATTATTACTGGGATTCACTATCAATCCAATGACAATAATTATGTTAGTAAAATACGTTATTAAAAATAGGGCTGATAATTGAGCCGAATTACTCGGATTCGGTTCGGATAGAACTCGATTTGAAATGAGTCGAATTCAAATAATTTTTTAGACTTGTTTAATAATTTTATGTTTGTTTTCTCAAAAAACCTTGCTCGAGAAAACGAATCGAGCTTGAAAATTATTTTAAGCTCATTTAATAAAAATGAGATTAGGGTATTCGACTTAAAGTTCGCAAAACCCGACTAAATTATCAAACTTAAGTAAAAGTATTATACTTCAAACTGGCATAAAAAATGGCAAGTTGATTAAAAGCACCACTGCTTGTGTAACCAAAAAGGCTGGAAAGTTGCAACTAGCAACATCCTAGTCAGCTTGGAAAAGAAACAAGTGTAAAAGCAACCACTGAGTACACAGTGCGTCAAGTGGGCCATTCCAGAGCTCAAACCTAGTTGAGTTGAGTCAGTCTATTCAAGTAATTACATGCATTATTGAACAGTTAACTGTTCAAAAAAAAAAGATAAATAATTTTCCCTTGCCCTTTTTCCTTGGTACACACTACGCCATCCCAAAAAAAAAAAAAAATTAATCTACCTATGAAAATAAGCCTACATTTTACAAGAAAACTATCAAATAAAACAAAAAATACAGCAACACTTCATGCATTTGGGTTTATTCTCGGGCCATCCGGATTTAGGTATGTCGATAGATCGAATTTGAATCGAATTTTAACTGATCCAAATTCAAATTCGTTTTCAAAAATCCAATTTCATAATCGGACGAATTTTATGTTCGTGATTCATATCCGAATCCGTTAACAATCAGATTTGAATAACTTAATTAATTAAATTTTTTTAAATGATCACTTAATTTCTTTAATATTTATATAAAAATATATAAATAATTTGGATCGAATCATAATCGAATCTGATATAGGTATATCTAAATCCGAATTCATAAAATATAAGATATCAAATTCAAATTCAAGTTCAAATTATCGATAAAAATTATTAATCCATATTTGATTAATTAGATTCAAATTTAGATCGAAATCAGATAAGAATCCGATCCATTGACATGTCTATCAAAAACTATTTCATGCCCTTAATGTGGTCTCAAAGTTTAAGCGGAATTGTGCCAAATTCGAATCACACAATTTTCATCATACGACTCATTAGGTCTTTCAACAAATGAATTAGTTAGAATTTGGATGCTCAGTTTGGTAAATAAAGTTTTGTGAGCAACTCTTATCACATTGTTGGCTGAGAGAAGGCATATGATATCCGCACCACAGGCTCTGAAATCATCACTCTTATACGCAAATACCTACTAGTTCGGCTCTATAATACATATATATATAACAATTCACATCTCTCTCTCTCTCTCTCTCTCTCTCTCTCTCTCTCTCTCTCTCTCTCTCTCTCTACACTAAGCTTTCATGGTAAATAACAAAGGATTGAAACAATAAAAAGAATCAATTTCATTGAAATTTCCAAAGTAAGTAACAATGACAGAAAGTTTATTTCCCCCACAAAAATGTATGAAACAAAACTAAACAATAAAAAGTTGTTGTTTCTTTATGTAAACGCCCATGTGAGTTGGTGGGCCCTTGAAAACTATAAAACGGACTCCACAAAGACTTGCTATAATTTCTTAATTCATGTACACCTTGCAACTATCAATAACAATTCTGCATTATTGCTCTCCACACGAGAGAATTTGTTCTCTTTTGCTTTGGGGCCCCACCCAACCTCAAAAGGGCTAACTTGCTAACCCTTTTGTGTGTGGACCCACTCCTCCAAACCAAACAAGGGACCTAAAATTATTGGAAAATACCAATCGGACCTAGTTATCCAATCTAATTTAGTGATGTAATTACTCTTATCGTTGGATTTACTGTTGATCTCGATATTGGATTAGATTTGATGTCAATCCAACAACACGAGACAATTACGTCAGAAAATTGGATCAAATGACTAGGTCCAAGAAGTATTTTTTACAATGGTTTTGGGACAATAATGATCATAAAGATGGATTTAAATCTCCTCCGGTATAATTTTTTTCTCAATTCTCCTCAATCGCCCGCATGAATTTAAATGAAGTCCATTATTTGAGTAAAATGTGACCATATATACTGGGTGATGTATTGTTGAGAAAAATTAAGAGAAACTATAATGGAGTAGATTTNTGGACCCACTCCTCCAAACCAAACAAGGGACCTAAAATTATTGGAAAATACCAATCGGACCTAGTTATCCAATCTAATTTAGTGACGTAATTACTCTTATCGTTGGATTTACTGTTGATCTCGATATTGGATTAGATTTGATGTCAATCCAACAACACGAGACAATTACGTCAGAAAATTGGATCAAATGACTAGGTCCAAGAAGTATTTTTTACAATGGTTTTGGGACAATAATGATCATAAAGATGGATTTAAATCTCCTCCGGTATAATTTTTTTCTCAATTCTCCTCAATCGCCTGCATGAATTTAAATGAAGTCCATTATTTGAGTAAAATGTGACCATATATACTGGGTGATGTATTGTTGAGAAAAATTTAGAGAAACTATAATGGAGTAGATCTNGCATGAATTTAAATGAAGTCCATTATTTGAGTAAAATGTGACCATATATACTGGGTGATGTATTGTTGAGAAAAATTAAGAGAAACTATAATGGAGTAGATTTGAATCCCGTAAAAGAGGGTTTGTGAACAAATATTAATGAGTTGTATAAGGTAGATTTAAGTTTACTTAATTAGGATCCAAAGGGTGCCCTATGAGGAATGCCCTTTCTTCTTCTAGCATTAGAGGGAGGTGGGGGAGGCGTGGGCGGGCATATGTCTTGTTGTGAGCCACCACGCAATTCTTCTTCCTCTCTTGTTGTTGATGATGATATTACTCTTCTTGATATCCCTTCCCCTCTTTGCATTACCACCTCATTCTCTGCCCCTAAGGTGAAGTTTGCATTCCCATTTCTCTTTATTCCTACAAGCTAAGTTATTAAACAAAAACAAATAAAAAGACTAACTCCAAGCAAATCCAATTTTTAAGAGATGTAATGGCAAATAAATAGCATTTATGTGATGGTCATGGTGACAATAATAACATCCATTACATTTCAAAAAGATGATTATGATAGCCAATGGTGGTTGAGTGATGAAAGCTATGGCTCATGAAATATGCAAGATGTAGTATCATCATAAGTTACAGTAGATGGTAATGATGATGATAAGAATGTCAATTGAGTTAGGTTGTGTTAGGTTGTGTTACGTTCAAATTATATCTTCTCAACTTGTAAATTTTATTTTTTTTTTGCGTTTGTATTAATAAGGTGTTTTTTTATTCTAAAACCATTAGGATTATATAATATCTATAAATGAAAATAACATATTTTGCAATAATAGTTAAACGGAGAAATCGTTTTTAACTCTAATTCTTTTTTTTCTTTTGTTTAGGGTAAGTAAATTTAACACTAAGTCAATCCACCAATAATTCGTGTTGATTGATCTTATAATTTTGGAATTGGGTATTGTTGGTGGGTTACAATGATGGTGATGGTGATGGTGATGGTTATTGATTTATGAATGTGGGACATGATTTATGGATGATGGTTCTGTAGATGACCATATGATCATGAGACTTTGATAACAATGTGAAACATCCAAGACCAGCAAAGATCAATGTGAAGCATCAAGCAAGGGAAGAGAGAGAGAGAGAGAGAAATGCTAACCTTACAGCCCAATGAACAGAATCTAAAAGGGTCCAAAAGGTTTCTCCCACAGACTTCACAAATGTGAGAAACTCCTTTCCCAGTTTTTGGTTGGGGCCTCTCATTCAGAAACAAAACCCTGGCACTGTTTATGACATAGGTTTGTACTCCACTTATGTCCAAAACCTTCTGAATCTCCGAAACCCTCACCACATCATGATATGAAGATCTCCTTATCTGCTACCCAAAAATCCATTTCAAAAAATCTATTTCAGATCGTTGTTCATGAACTGTACCAATGTGATATATACATATATATATATATATATATATAGAGAGAGAGAGAGAGATTGAATCATTATGCAAAATGTGATGATTTTATGATATAAGAAGATGATGTTTGGTCATATACACACCCACCTGGATTACTTGATGATCCTTGTGTTTGGATGATCGGCAGTAAAAGCAAAATGCATCGCCATTGCAATCCAAGCAATACATATTGCATTCACTCCTCGCTGCGTCTTGATGTGTCCGGCAGGTGGAGAAGAAAGCTGTGTTTAGCAATGGTTCCAGCCATGGAGGAACCAGCATTGTGTCCTGCTTGAACCCAGGAATGTAATACATACATTACTTAGCATCAGACTATCATAATTTGATGGAGAGAGAGAGAGAGAGAGAAAATATGGTTCTTTATTGTAATAAATGTTACCATTATGAGAGTTGAATTTTGGTGAAGTGGGTATTGAAGCAATGTGACTATTTTGCTGGATAACGGTTGGTTGGATTCTTCTAATGATAATGGAGAATCTGCAGGGAGAATTACAGATGAAAATTTGCAGAGAGAGAGAGAGAGGAGGAGACTTGTAAACAACCCAGAACTTAGAATTCAACATCACAACGCCTGGAAGAGGGGACAAAATATTATAAACAAATGTGCTCATTCAACAGCTAAGATCAATCGTGGTGGCTGAGGTTTATTCTGGAACGTTGGATCGACAGGGAGAGAGAGATGGGTTTGGCGTTTACGCTACCGTTGGATCTTCTTTGCGTCTCCGTGTTGTGTAGTAGACACAAAGGTCGGCCATTAGGCTACGTTTAAGCATATGAGCTAAAATATGGTAGCCAAAACTAATTTTAGGTATATTTTTTTTGTTAATTATAAAGTGACAAGTTTATTTATTATTATTATTTTACAATTTATTATTTTTACTATTTTTATAATTAATAATTATGAGTTACTCAGAGAAAAATTTACAGTAAAAATTATTTTCTGATTTAATGTTAAAAAATTAGAATTGAAAATCTTGGACTCGGCCCCAATTATTATAACAGCTGGTCATTAATACCGCATCGTCCCATTGTGCCACGTGTAAAGCTCTCCACGTGGCAGAATCTACCGGCCCGTAGAAGTGGGCCATTAATGTGGTTTTCACGTTTCTGATGCTTCAATGTGAGGACGGGAAAAATAGTATTAATTGCCATAAATACCATTCAATTTAGAGAATATTACAATGATGGTGCTGACGTTTTCATTGGTCACGACAGAACTTCTTTATTTCATAAATTTCAGGTAGCATGTCATGTCCATAGGGAGATTTTTAATTTGAGTAAATTAAGACCATGAGTTGTTGATTGGATTTCCAATAATATATTGATTTAATTATCATTAATTATAAAATAACATTAATCAAAAAAATTATTATACATTCAATTTCTATCCCATACCGAATGCATCTTCTTTTTTTTTTTTACAAAAATAATAATGCTACACAGACCAAATTTTGTAACAAAATTAAGAGATCAAATGACATGACAGCTGACTTGTTCTTCTTTATGTGATATTATGTCATTTGAGCTCTTGATTTAGTCCCAAAATTTGATCAGTGTAATATTACTTTTGAAAAAATATTACAAAATTCAAATGAAATCCAAAAATTAAAACTAAAATACATATCATCTTTTGGATGAGTGTGGAATTAGTGGGGTTCCAATGAAATTGATGAGACTCATTTAACCAATGAATTATATGCATTTGAGTTGTAATTTTTTAAATTTCATTTGAATTTTGTAGAATTAATTACTCTTTTTTTTTTTTACAACACTGCAATTGTTTGTAATATATTGTTGTTTTTTTTTTATTTTTCATGCGATAAATATATGTTTTAATCATGCGGAGTTTGTTAGTTTGATAATGCCTAGATTCAATTTCATTATATCGAGATAAGATTGAATCGAAATTAATTTGTTGCTCAAGCTTACCTCAGCAGAAGTTTGGGAGCATTCAATCAGTTTTCATCGGCAAGGAAGTGGATCTCATTAATATTTAATAATGGAGATTCTGTCACATCACTTGGAATGGAATGAAAAAACTTGAGACAAAACTTAGTAAACATAACATTATTAGTTAAAAAGAAACTGACCTTACATGTTGAGTTACTGATGAAGAAATCCAACAATTACAAGCACAAAATTACTATTATATTATGTCACTATCACATCATTTGATCAATTTTTTTAATTCTCGGTAACATTACTCTATCCTTTTTTTCAAGAAAAAGGTTTTATTCTTCAAAGTTCAACCAGGCCAGGAAAGTTTCCTACTAAAGTTGGGCAATAGGCAAACTAATGTATAATCTTGGCAACCTACAAGAAACTTATATAAACCAGTAAAACCCAAATAATTATTCATTACCATGGACTAAGTAGTTATGGGCTAAATCTCTTTTATGTTTCCAAACCCACCTATGAAATTGCTGAAGTAATCTTAATTTAGGCAAGCATTGGCTTGAACTATCAGTTGATTGGTTTTAAGCAAGTTAATGTTAATGTGGTGCAGTTGGTTTGTTACTATGAAAAGACTCATCATGTGGCAGGTTTGAATACTTTCTCTATTGCTAAGGGAGCAAAGTATGTAGATTACCCTTGTGTACACCCAATTCAGGAACATACCCAACCATTTGGTACCTGTTTCACACAAAACTGGTCTAGGTGGTGCGCCCACCTTTTTCTTCTTTTTTAAAATGCATTTAGACACTGTATAGAACCCAAAACGTACGTACCATTTGGGACCAGTACATTCAAGTTTAGTTACACTTTGGTGAGGTGGGTTCTTTTTTCTTTCTTTTTTTTTTTTTTTTTGGGGGGGGGGGGGGGGGGGGGGTGGTTTG